AAAAACCTTGACCTGAATTCAAGTTTTGAAGGATTTTCTTGGCTTCTTGATACTTTAGCTAACAGTAAGTGGAAAGTTAAGTTGTTCTAAATGCTGTTTAAAGTTTTATTACTTTATGGTAGGGCATTAAAAAAAAACAACCTAATTGGTACTAAAGGTTGCAGAGTGTTTTCACCGCCTCCTCCAGCCTAAACTGTTGGATCAACTACCATGTTGTATACATTGAACTCTGATCCTACCTTCTGGATGTTGCATCTGAAATTTAGGCACACTGGACAAGGCAATGTTGTTTTTAATCTGCTTTGGTCTTCTAGTGTGAACTTCAGCCTCAGTTTCCTGTTTTTAGCTCATGGTAGTTGGCCCCTAATCTGGCTGTATCCCACCTTCTTCAAGGTTCAGCATGTTCAGAGGTGACATAGTGATGATACCTTTGCTTCAACCAGAGGTTATTTGAGCCACTGTTGCCTTTCTATCTTCTTCGGCCAGCCTATTAGCCTGCTCTCCTCTGATCTGTGACGTTGGCAAAGCATTTTCACCCACACAACTGCTGCTCCCTGCATATTTCCTCTTTTTTGGAATGTTGTCTGTCCCAGTTGGTCAGGAGTTCCTGAAACACTGACATCCAAACTGCTGCATTCAGATTCACTTAAACCCAGTTTCTTCGGTTTAAACGTCTACGAGTCATCTTTGCCACCTCTAGATGCCATAATGCCATAACCTCGGTTGGCTAAAGCACAAAACTTTCATTGGAGATTGTAATGAAAGAGAAAAATATTCTAGTTGCTATGTCCAAATTTTAGTGAAGTTTTGATTAGATTAGATTTTTCCCTCCTGCTTGCCTTTCATTTGTGTGTTGTTGATTGAACAGCACCCTTTCTTGGTCTAAACAAACAGGGTGGCATCAGAAAATCTGGGAGGTGCATGGATGGAGAGCCAATAAGGTGATGACCTCATCCGGTGCTTGTGGAGTCAGGGATCTCTGATTAGAGGTGCATGGATCCCCCCAGGACTTGCTGCAGAAGTGGCCTTAATAGGATGTGATGTTTTTGGCCCCGGGGCTACGCACTCTGCCTTGCTCCGCTGAGGCGTTGCCAAGGAACTGCGCCGGTACGCCGGCTGCGAAGCACTCAGCTGGCTTATTGAAGGTAAAGGCTGCTGTTTCTGATCGAAGCCCGCCCGCGCGCTACTCTGTGCGTGTGTGAACACGCCATAAATGGTCAACGACTCAAAGCTGTTGGACATGGTTCCTCAGCAATATGGTAATGTAGGTATGTGACTCACGAGGAAAGCAGTAAAACAAATCCAGTAAAACGGTAGCAGAAGGTTTGACTTTGTGTGTGTGTGTGTGTGATTTGTTTTTTTGTATAACTGCTTGGCCTCTGGTCTGACCTTCACTTTGGTTTAATGGATTATGAAATTTCACAATGACGGCAGTCCCCTTTACAACTCTGTTAGCGGCACAATACGCTCGCGGTAATCAACAGCAGATGTACGCTGTGAAGAGCTGTTGCCACACTCTATCACCAACGTGTGCAGTCAGCTCCACACCGGACACGCAGGGAAAGAAAAGCTCATATATCACAATAGCTGACGTCAGAAAGTCTCAGGAATGAGGTCCGAAGCAGCCAAGAATGTCCCATTGTTCTAAGGCTCTGGAGTACTCCTTGTTGTGTGTCTTAACTTGTCTAGTTTTCAAATGACTCTGACTAAAGATAAGACGTTCAATTAGAGATTTTTAACAAGATAGATCACTGGGTAGATAAGGATTTATTATGCCACACACCAAATTCCTGTTAAAGTGACAATTATGATCTTTGTCTTTAAGACAACTACACTTAATCTAATCTAGTCTTATTAAACCTGTGTGATGAGTTTTCTATTTATGTTTTTTTTTTTTTTTGCTTCAGCAGGAATAATTGTTGCTAAACTTTGGCAATGACACAAATCTATGTAGCTTTATTTTTTTATTCTTGTGACTTTCCAATAACAATGCGCTTGGTTACTGGTATCAAGGTATTTCAAGAACAATCATGCTGTTCCTCCACTGTAACCTGTTTCCATCAAAAAGATACAGAAAGCTACAGGAGTTTTCTCTTGCTTCGTGGAGCAGAAAGTATCCAAATGCGCCTCCTCCTCCACTTGTTGCTATGCGCTGCTGCTCAGCTGGCTCAAAGAACCCTCGTCGACCAGTAACCTACGCAGATGCTCGACGAAATAACTCGCTAATATCAACTTGTTACACTCATGTTATTCTAAAAGACTTCTAAAGTATTAAGCATTCGGGTTTTCTGTGCCTGTGTATTTGCTGACACCAGTTATGTGATGCAGGATCGAAAGGTTTTAAGAGGTGATAAAGGTGCTCAAGTCATTAAGGAGCGACAAGTTGCCTCAAGGCCAAAACAGCAGATGCCATGAGAAGCAACTTTTTCCACAAACAAATGTTGCGAGTCACTTTTATTGCAACATCCACCAATACTGTTGCATGTTTTTTTTTTTTTATGTTGTGTTGCCCTACCCTGATCTGTTACACCGCTGACCTGATCTCAGATGAGAAGAACAATAAATGGATGGGTGGAAAAGTAAAGGTGACTCACCTACAACCCCATTTTAAAGGTGTAGTCTTTGTATTTGCTTTGAGCCTGATTGATTTTATTCTGCCGACTTTTTAATGTGAGGAGAACCTCCTGAGAGTCGATTTAAACATATCTGCCTGGGACGAGGTGAAGTGAGGACAACCGCCGTGATGAGAGAGTTACCACAGGGGAATGTTTTTTTTTTTGTTTTTTTTTCTACTTTATGTTTGAATGAGCTTGGTGACGCTGACCATGCTTTTGCTCCCCCAGTTGCTAAGCTGCGTTTGTTTATGTGTTGATCAGCCTCTGGCTTTGGGGGTGTGGATCAGGTTACATTTGGGAATGAGGTGTAGTGTTAGTTCAGCAGCTCCTTTTGTCCCCTGAGTTTTAAATCTAATGAATCGGGGAGCTTCGAAATCCTCTTTGTGTACAAAACTAGAATTTTCTGAAAGCCTTACTGGGATTAAGGTGGCGCTTTTTGGTTAAACTATAGCTAAATTGCATATTTAAGAATTTTTTTTTAATTTGTATGTATTATACATGCAAAATACGCCTGGAGAAAGGCTACTTTTTTTCTTACATCTTGAATCTTTTGACGGAGATTTAAAGCCGTCGCTTCAGTGAATGTCACATTCAACATTTGGATACGTGTTAACAGCTCTGTCCTGGGCTGACCCTTTATTAAGCACAGACGGATTCACAGACGCATGTAACTAAAGAATTTTCTGTTACGCTGCCTACAAATCTGTAACTAGATCTGCTCTCAGCAGCATGAAACGACTCCTCAGCACCTGTGCTCCATAGTGCTGCTATGTCTGTGTTTACCAAACCCCAGCTCGGGTCCTAATGGGTCTGAATGTGAGGACAGAGCTGTTGCTGCTGCTGTTGTTCACACCAGCCTTTTTTAGACAAGGAGGGTGGGTTTTCCATTGTGCGACTGACCAGGCTGGAAAAGTAAAGGAGTCGCATACTGACTTTGATGAGAGAATTGAGAGCAAAATTAGAAATTCCTCATTAAATGACTGGAGCAAAAGGAATGTTGTTCTCTCCGTTATTCTGTGTCCATTTTAACTTTTTCTTGCTTTTGAAAGTATTGATGCATCTTTTATGTCTAACATATATCTAAGATTTTTTTTGTTTTTATTTAATTTGTTTTTAAATATTCTATTTAATTTTGCAGTTCTAAATTTAAAAGCCCTTATGTGAGTGTTGGACATGTCTTTGTGCTCTAAACAAACGAGGTACTTTGTGTTTTAAAGCATCCTCCTTAAATGGCTGATTAAGGTGGAATCTTGTGATTCCAACCAGTTAAAAAAAGAGAAATGCCTTCTTTAATAAACATTTTCTATTCACAAATGAACATTTTCTATTCATTTAAACAGACACGGCAATAACTGGATATATAACTAGAAGAGTGGAGTTTCTTGCTGTTTGTTGTCAAGTTGACGAATGGTGAACTAGTCAGTTGGCCATTGGTTAAAATCTGACATTTTCCAATTTATTAAACATTTTTTCTGTTCTTTAAATTCATCAAAAGTAAACAATTAAAAATGTTTCAGTCTGTAAACGCATCAACATACGGCATGTTCTTCGAGGCATTTTGTTTAAGGTGCAACAAAGGTCAGATAAAAGTTTAGAGACGTAAATTTGATGTAGTTACAGTGAAAAAAGTGGGAAGTTTTTCATTTTATAATGCAATATAAAGACACTGCCCCCCAGTCACAGCCCAGTTACCAGTTAAGTTGGTTATTCTGTACCCTCTCTTATGTTTGTCTTCAGATCCATGTTTCAACGAGCCCAAACTTTCTCAAACCTGATGAGTTCAGCTTATTAATAATTTTTTCTGCTTAATTTTCCATCTTTGAAGTTTTCCATCACAGAGGTTGTGAACTATTTCTCCAAAAATAGTATTTGATGCAGTAGAGCCTGAAAGCATTATGTGAAGTGTTTCTTTCTTGCTTAAATAAGCCTTCATGTATATATTCTCCTCATCGGCTCACATAACGAGACATCTTCTACGCCCAAATTCCTGATCGAAGTCATCATGAGTTTGTCTGCTGCCCTTAAGCCTCTTCTCCCACTCTCAGTTTGGGTTTTCCTCCCAGCCAACGTACTCAACATATACAGTACGGTATAATTCTCAAGAAATGCCAACCCATGCTGCAAGTTGAAAAGTTCAAATGTAAACCAGAGGATAAAACTGCCGAGGGGGGATTGGCCATTTGCGGATTACACAGGAGAGCACAATGGTGCAGGAAGGAGTGTGCTTGCAGAACAGTAATGTATCTCTATCTTCAAGTGTAACTGTTTAACTTCATTGTCCTGTTCCTCATAATCTCCTATGTCACCGTCAGAGAGCCATCGAGGCTATTTATAACCACAGAGGTTAATGAAAAATACATAATCCCTCTCTCTTGTCCTCTTCAGGTCCGAACGCTATTCGTCAGTGGGCTACCGCTGGATATCAAACCACGGGAGCTCTATCTCCTCTTCAGACCATTTAAGGTATGTTTGTATGTTTTAAACCGATGGGCTGCAGCCGCTATTCTTAGCTGCTTTCCGTTTCTTTTCCAGCAGTCAATGAGACCTCCATTAATGGTGATGAAATAAACGGCAATGGAAACTCTCCCTCGAGGTTCAAGTGTCTGTGCTCCTAACGCTGGGCTTCAATCACATCTCGATCGCGTGTTCATCATGGAAAAAGTGGCTCTACGCCTGCAATCCAAAAACAAAGCTGTTTGCTTCGCCTCAGAAGCTCCGCTCTCTTGCGCTGCCATGGATTTCTAATCCAGTTGAACGAACCTGGATGTTGCCGGCTCTTTTGGCCCGTCGCCCGAGAATAATGCACCTTAATGGTTCAAGAGCAGTGCTGTTCGAGTGATTGAATAATTGCAATCCATGTAATCCCTCTATTAGACAATGCTTTTGGTATGTACCCTGAGTAGAAAGGTTTACATCATGAGTGTTGAGAGCTGGAAGCCTCGAATAATTAGATAAGAAACAACAATCCAATCCATATGGTCTTTTTCTAAGAGCTCCAGAAAGCAGCCTTACCATGTAAAGCAAATGTTATAAAACGCCTGTGCCTCTCAGAGGTAATCACATCGCTTAAACTTTTCAATATTTTGTTATGCTGTAAGCACAATCTTCAACGTTCTTTTTTGTGACACATCTAGAGACGGGCGTTTTTCTTTGCCAGGTATTTTCAGCTCAGTTCGATTGGGCTGAGGCCGTCTGTTAGGAGCAGTTTTCAAGTGTCTCAGTTTGATCTGGACCTGGTTTGGGGTCGTTTTGTGCTTCAAGGGGAACCTCCAGCCCAGTTTTAATTCCTTCTGTATCTAAAATCGATATTTGCATCAACTCTGACCGGCTTCCTTTGCCTGTTGGCCAAAAGGTTAAACTCTGGTCTTATTTATTTGCTTTCCCCTTTATGGTTTTTGACAAACTTTAAATGGAATTTCATATGGATTTCCCCCCCTCATCTTCTTGGTGCTCTTCTTTTAAGCCCACATATGTGTTTATGATTTATAGCTGAATTGTGGAGCTCTGCAGCTCCTCCAGAGTTCCCCTGGGCATCTCCTTATCTCATTAATGCTCTCCTTGCCTGGCCTGTCAGTTTAGTTGGACATTTCCTGTGAGCAGGCTTGGGAAATAACCTGACCCTGATATATTCTTACTCCACTTTCAGACCGGTGTACTACATGTTTAGCCTCTAATATTCTCTAAAAACCTGCTGACATTATATTAAGATCAATTTCCACAAAGACGGACTCTATTTACTAAGTAGGCAGCTTATAAAGGCATATATTTGAATTTAGGGGAATCTGAGTTAATCATGCTAAATACAAATGCACACTTTTCAGATTTTTTATTTTTATTTTATTTATTTTTTTTTTTTTTACCATTTAACAGTTTTGATTTCTTACATAAAAAAATACATTAAAGGTACATTTGCCAAAGGGTATGAATACTATTGCAAGGTTCTCTTTCCCTACATCATATTTCTGTTTTGTTTTTTTTTCTCAGGGTTACGAAGGATCCTTGATAAAGCTCACTTCTAAGCAGGTATGTTTAGTGCCTTCTCGTCCAAAGAATCCACTGCATGAATTCCTGCCGCTGCCTCACAAAACATCCCATCTGTCAGAAGCTTGCAATTCACCGCATCTCCTTTTTTTCCCAACTCGGCGGGATCGGCTTGCTGACAGGGAAGGATAACCCCTCTGTTTTGTCAGGAAGAACCCTTTTAACGTGTAAGAGAGGTTTCCTGTTGGGAGGGGGAAACCCGTTTCACCCAGTTGCCTTTGGCAGTCCGATAGCGCTCGTAGGGGTGGAGGGTGTGAAAAAGAGCATTTTGACACGAGGTCAGAGATTTTTCTCCAGAGGAACAGGACTGAAAATTAGCTAGTCTGGCAGGTGTCCGTGGTCAGAGTCGAGCAACATATATGTTCACATCACACTGTCTCCTGCTAAGACATGTTCTGCTCAAATCTTGGGCTTATTGGGGAACATACACTGCAATAACACAGCTCTTAATTTTACTAGTAGTTTCGGGATGTGAAAAACATTCACAAGATTCACCAGTAGTGGAGTACAGGGGTATAGTTTATTAGTGCTTTCACACAAGACCTTTAGTCTGTTTTCACATCAAACTAATATTTTTATTTTTATTTTTTTTTAAATGTTTCATCTTGAACTTTTCCACAGGATATTAGGTTTCAGAATTTTTGCGTTTTGTCCTTTTGTACATAGCAAATAGTCATTTACTCTTTACAAACTGCACAGATGTAATAATTTACTGTTTGCATTAGCTCAGCTATGCAAAAGTTTTAAACCAGCATTATTCCCTTTATATTTTGCTTTCAAGCAGCCTGATGCTCTTGTAATGTTATAAGGTAGTTTGATTAACAGTTTCATGCTTTCTAAGTTTATGTTTAGACGTCGCTTTCTCGCTCCTTTGTATATTGAGTTGTGTAGTGAGTCCTGAAAGTACATAAGAAAAGTGAATGAAAAGAGGAAACAAAGTTTGGAAACGGAATAAAAAAATCATGAGTCGTGACGTACAAGATGCACCATCCTTCATTCAGTCAAGTTTTTTGCTGCTAGTTCTCTGACAAAAACCATTTGGGATTTTTTTTTCTTTTGAAGACTCAACTAAAGAAACTGGAACATTTTTGCGACAGGCTGTTTGTGACAAAGATCCAAAAGTCTGAAAAAGCCAATAAGATGCTATTTTCCTGCGTATTATACAGATATTTCCGGATGTTTCCAAATTGGTTTATGGTAATGGTTGCACTAATAAACAGTTTATTTGTACTTAGGAAAATCTTTTGCAAGCGCAGTACTCCATAGTCTCCTCATGAACTTGTTTCTTTAATGATTTACGCACAAAATACAACAAAACACCGTCAGTAGCCAGTAATTAGCTCCTCACTTATCACGGTACTTAGCATATTCCACTGATTTTCTGACTCCCAACTGTCTGGAACACAGTTAATTTGGGTTTGATTTCGTCCTCGGATCCTTGTTCCACACATTATGGGTAGATAATGGTTCACCGATGTCGGCTGTAGTTTGTACTTTAAAGTATTCTCCATTGCTCTTCTCTATTAAGTAGTTTCTGCCTGAAGCAAAGACAGATGGGCTTGAAAAGCTCCTTCTTTTGGCTGTTGATTAACCTTGTGCTTACTTCAGTAAACACAGACTAACACCAAACTGGTACCACTAAGTACCAGTACTAAGTACCACTACCGGTGGTTCTTGTTGATGGAAAGTCCTACAGAGATGTGGATGACCATAACAAACCATAACAAACTGAAATATTTGTTGTTGTGAGATGTTGTTCAGCAGGCCAAATTTGTCTTTAAGTGGCTTGACAGCAAATCCTAACAGTATTCAGATATGAATCAAGTTCCTAATAAATATTTTGAAAGAGCAATTTCAAATATTACAACGAAATCAGGCCTTTTGAGAAGCGAAATATAAAAACAAGCGGTGTTAGACAAACCTGTACAGAAGAGTCAAGCTGCAAGATATTTGAACACTATCTCCAAATAAATTTGTTTGTTGCTTTTCCTTTACGGTAACCCTGAAATTTAAGATCATAGTGCTGGAGTAAACAAAACCCTGTTTGCCTTGTGGTTTCTTTTATAAACCAGCCATCATGTAAAAACATGGTGCAAATAATAGTTCCTAAATGGCCCTTGCAACTGCACTAATACAAGTGCTTTTAAAAGTCTTAAACATCTCCACTCGCCACCACTTACGGATGTTATGGCTGTGGCTGCATTGCCAAGAGCCAGCTAACAGTAAAAAGCCTCCGTAAATTCAAATTTTACTGCATTTACACTAGGCAGATGTTTCAAAGAAAATGTCTGGGGCTTTAAAATCTAAACTGTGAGTTAAGAGTTCATTTTTGGGGGGAGTTGAGGTACAAAAAAAGGGACCTTTGCTGAAGTGTTTGTCTCCAAACTAGCCCTTGAACTGACTGAAAAGGGGCATCGCTTACCTTCTCCCCCCACCCTTCCATAAATGCCATCCTCAACAAGACAAATGTCAGCTAATGCGCACGTTCAGTCAGGAGTCACAAAGTACTGTCCAGGAGTGCCCCTGCTTTGTTTTGCTTCTCCTCGCTAATGGCAATGACGATGGCGACATAAATCAATCGATCGGCCCTCTCTCTCCCTCCAGCAGCCAGAGAACTCGCAGCCATCTCCATATATAGCAGCAGCAGCCAGACCTCAGACCCTTTCTATTTATATTCCTGCTACGCTTCCTCCTCCTGACGTCTTTACTAAGTCCTTTCTTTTATGTGCGCGTTTCGTCTTTTTCTCCTCTTCTCCCCCTCCTCTTCCTCCAGCTTCTCGCTCCACTTATTCCAAATTCCCATAACCCTCGACGGCTTTTCCAGATCACAGACGGCGGTGTGAACCCAAGGGAGCAGTGTGTTTAGAGGCTTTCTATCCCCACAAACATTCAACAACAAACCTTTTTTGGGGGGAGGATTCACACCTGCATAGTCTTGCTCTCCTTTTGCTTTTTTCCCCCTTCGTGCCCCTCCCATCATTGCGACAGGTCTCCGAAGTTAACGCTCTAAAACAAATGTCACGAAGCAGCCCTGCTTGAGGAGAGGAGCTTTTAAAAGCTTTGGCCTCACTTTCTTCAATTTTCACCTCTCGCCTCTAAACTCTGTTCTCATTTGTCTTCTTTTTTTTTCCTCTCATCTCTCTATCTCTTTTTAGATTCTTCTCCCTCCCTTCTCAGGGTCTTTTAAAGCAGCTCTTACATGCACTTTCTCGCTCCTCACATTGCCCGTATTTGGGCAAAGGAGAGCCCGAACGTTGAACTCTCTCTTTGTGCAAACTAAACAGCATTTTTTTTTTTACTCCCCCTTCTTCTCTATCTCTCCTCGTGTCGCCACAGTTTCATAAACAGGGAAAGAGAGAAAGAGACGGAGAAGGAAGGAGTTGACTCTGATAAGAAATGAAAAAAAAGTACACTGTATAAAAAAAGAACATGTTTTTGTCATTCAGACAGAAATGCAGACTCAGATTTCTTGCCTTAAACAATGTTTCTTTCTTTTTGTTCTGTCTTCTTTCTCTCCCCAGCCAGTGGGGTTTGTCAGCTTTGACAGCCGATCAGAGGCAGAGGCTGCTAAGAATGCCTTGAACGTAAGTGCCATGCCCTCACCGCTCGAGCACCGGCTCAGCGCAAAGCATGTTTCTTCTTCTTTTTTTTTTATTTTGCAGCTCAAATGGATTTAATTGAGGGGAAGTATACACATTCCTTCATGACCCTTCAAATGCAAAAAACAAAAAAAAAAAAAAACTGATGCAAGTATATGAAGGCTAAGTCAAAAAAAAACTGAGATGTTGTGCTATAATATTTTTTATCTTGATGATATCTGTCTGGACAAAATATATCCAGTTGCTATCAGCATGTGAAGGAAGTTTATAATATTGTTAATGGTCTTAGGTATAAAACTGAGCACAAGACATACCGTATCTTTGTTTGAGACTCTTATTTTCGTTTGCGAAAGGAAGTAGTTTGTTTTCTTTCTCTGTCGTGTTGACGGCTAATTATTTCCTGTCCACTGGCTGATAGCATACAGCTACAAAAATATTGAAGTGGACTCTACCGCCTTAAAATTTATTATTTGATAACATTTTATGGTGAAAAACAAGATAAGTTACTAGCAAGAACCTTGAAAATATTGTGACGGCTATATGTGTTAGCCACTAACAATGCTAAGGTTGCTATTTGCTATTTCACATGCACACAAAACTGAAATTGATAATCATAAATTGAACTGATGTTCTTAAAGCAAAATTTCAGATTGTGAAGCCTTTTTTACTGCATACAAAGAAACGCAGAAATGGTTGTTGACGGTAACGTTGTTTGTCCTGTTGATAAGGTAGCCTTGACCAGCTGATAGCACTACGTTCCAAAACATTGAGGAAACCTTCAACACTTTGAGCTTGGCGAACTTATTTAGCATTTTTGAAGAATGAAGAAATAGTGACAGAACAGAATAAAATATTTTGTGGGCAAACTGATAATATAGTAAATGGCTAATGGCTTAGCTGCCAACGGCTAATGGCTTAGCTGCTAACCTCAGTAATATGAGTAGCTAAGGTTAGCAGCTAGCCATTTGCTACTGATAGTGCTTAAGTTAGCACTGAGATGGGTCAAATATAAACAGAATCAATATTTGTAGATTAAGAAGTTTTAAGATTAGGGAAGTTTGAAGTTTATTTTTTATGACACAAAAAGGTGCATTTCTATTAGTCTTGTTAAGATGCACCAATTTTTCTCAGTGTTTTCTTAGGGAAAAATAGCTTTTTAACTTTTTTCTTTAATAATGACCGGAACACCGAGGAAGCCCTTCCACTTTTAAATAATTTATTCAGCACTGTTTTAGGTACATAGCAGAAAAAGTAAAAATTTACTAAGTTGCAGATAAAAAAATCGGAATTGGCTGATTTTCATCCTTACTGGCTGTGACTGATCAGCGGGTCAGAAACTCAAAAGTGCAAACTTTTTTTCTGATTGTTGAATGCACTGTGCATGCTGCAAGAAATAAATCACAGACAAGCACACTCTTGAGCACATTACTGGATGATGTGACTCCATTTTGAATGCTGTTTCAATGCCCTGTTGCATTAAAGTACCAGAAACCAGAATCGACCAAAACTTTACTGGAGATTGGCCACAAAATTCTGATCTCTGTATCTGCACCTGAAAAGCACCTGACAAGCTTTATAAAAAAATAATAATACAGTTCCTTACAAACTGATATTGCATGAAATACATGGTGCTAAAGATACATTACAATGCATTCCTACTATGGAAGATCTGAAGGTTTTCTGTTTATGGAAATAAAGCCGCCTCTTTGAGCTTTGCCTGTGAATGCTGCAAGTTTTGGAGAAAATTAAGTCTTCTTATGTGTGTAAATAGAGGATATTGATCTAGGGTTTAATTTTAATCTCCCTTATTTCAGGCTGTAGCTCAGGAGAAGCTTTGGTGAGTCAGGCTCAAATATTTATATAAAAAAAAAACAACAGAGCCCATATTCACAAAGTTTTTATCCAGTTTTGTAAAAACCAAGGCAGTAATGAACTCCAGCTTTCACAACCTTTACTTTCCTATTGTTATTTATATATTTAGTAGATTTGTTGATTTCTTCGTGACGGAAAAAGATCACTTTTATCTCCGTAACTGAAGTGGGACTGTGACAGCAGAGTGTGCTTGCCTTTCAGATGTTAGAAGTGTTAGTGCGTATCAAAGACAGAGCAGAAAGGAAGAAAGGAGAAAAATTATCATCTTATTATGAGCCAACAGCAACTCACAATGTTTCTGGTGAATCTCTAAGTGGGAATAAAAATTGTTTTTTTTTTTTCTTTTTTTTCGGAGGCAGAGTTACGTTCCCGAGAGGTCATATGGAGATAAGTTTTCTTTTTTCTTTTTTTTGAAAACATCTATCTGCATATTTAGATATGCGGAAGAGTGAGAAACCTCTAGAGAAAGTGAGGGATTTGTTTCCTATCAGGAGCTATGTTTTATTTCCTAAATTACAAAAAAAAACCATTAACATTAACCAAAGATGGTGGTTGAGAAGAAGGAGCTAAGAAGCTCTTCAAGGTGGATACGCAGCTCGGTTCAAACGCTGGAGAACTGGGGCCCCCTCATTATAACTTTGCAGCTTATTACACCTTTGCAGCTACTACCGGTAGAAGCTGCGAGCCGCCCTGAGCCAAGGCAATCCCAGTTAATTCCTCCCTCTTTCATGAGAAGAGCCTTCACTCGCTTGTTGCAGCTCAGCTTTGCCCGAGCCTGCAGGGACGAGATGAGAAGCCCATCCCCGGCAACTCCTTGCTCTTTTGCTGCAGAGAACTTCGCACCTCGACTGCTTTTTCTGCACAGCTGATTTCACCTCTGCTGCTTCTCTGCGTCTCATGCAGGCAAATAAATATGGTTAATTTGATGACATTTACCGTGGCCTCTAAAATGTCCTGCCGTTTGGTCGCTTGCGAAGCAAAGTGAACACGCATCCGCTGTGATTCGGATGAGGAGGATCTCGGATTGTGCCACATTCCTTGTGTTTTCTCAAGCACAAGTGACTGTGAGGGGAAATGATTTGGCCAACTGGTCATGTGGCGTTAAAAACACCCTTTATATTTGATTTGTCATGAGCGGTGGTATGTCAGAAGGGCTTTAGCAGTGGCATGTCAAGCATTTGCCAAAACTTGTGGCTCCTTTTAAGCTTTAGCACCGACTGTGTCATGACAAATGAGGCATCTGATGTCGTGATATTAAATTACAGTTCCAGGGTTCAGTAGGAAACGTTCTGAGGTTTCTCGTGGCTTATCTGCCTGACTTTTAAATGACACCGTGTGTTAGCCAGGATTGTGTCATCAGGCTTGGATTATAAATTTCTCAATAATCCGCAGTGAGCAGCTTACATCAGACATCACATTCCAAGCTGCGTTTTAAGCTAATTTGCATAAGTTTATGTATATAATTATACTTTAGAACAAACATAATCTCAAATAAGTTTACAGGACCAACAGGTTAAAGTTACATCCAATAATATAGACTGAAATTGGGTCCAAATACAGTTTGGGCCAATCAAATTATTTCAAATGTAGTTCAGCAACCAATAAGTTTGCAGCAATCTGTCATTTTGATCAAGTATATGGTGACAGACAGTGGAGTGAAATCCATCCATTTTTAACAGAAAGAAACCTCTGTATAGAACCCAGGTCATTACAAACAGCTGTAAAGAGGTCAGAGGTTAAGAGTTAAGGGATGAGCTACAAAATAAACAGAGGTTCTGGTTCAGGGCTGCCTTCTGTGGAAGATAAAAATAAAGAGAACATGGCGTTACTTATAATGACAACTCCAGCACTGGATTAGTCTGGGAACGAGACACAGGAGCACTGAATCACTAGAACTTTCTATTAAAACGGAAAACAAATTTAAAATCAGCTACAGCTTTGGCAATGAGTTCATCCGAGAAGGCCACACTTCCTTACACAGAAGCACTGAGCCAAATGGAGCTAAAAACGACTGAAAGCAGCTAAAATCTGAATCCCCGAGCCAAGAGTGTTCTCTGTGTAATAATTAAAAAATAATGCTGGGTAGTCGGTGATTTATTGAGAGAGACATATTTTAAGCTGAATTTTTTTTTGTAAAATTTTTTAAAAAAAAAAAAAAAAAAAAAAAAAAAAAAAAACAGTAGACTGTGACAATTCCAGGAACCAGAGTCTGGAAAATGTGTAAACAGCACATTATAATTTGCAATTTTTTTTTCTGTTGCTGTCTGTATTGTTCTGATTTATTACTGCACTAAATACTAGTCAGCAAAGTTTTTTTTTGTCTTGTAATCCCCTCCCCAATTATCACATAACCTGAGTGCCAAGCAAAATAATTTAAGCGCCCTGTTTTGAAGGGTAGTTGTGAAAGCAATGTAATCCTGCTCTTAACATCATTAGGAATCATTATGTGGTGAGCCCAAATCTCTCCCAACAAGGTTGCTGCGAGCAACCTTCGGGTAAACAAAAAGGTGTTCGAGAACTTTGTAAACAGCCTGTCGGCACTTGCAAAACAACCGGAATGCGGCGAAGGTTCAAATTTGTAAGCTAACTCACGCAGACTTTAACATTTTTTGCAAGAAAACCGTCGTCTGCTGTTGCACCCTCTGCTAAATCAAGGTGAGATGTGCTGCAAGCGCTTGGAGAAAACGTTGGACTAGTTTTCAAAGACAAGTTAGATTTTCCAAAATTTCCCTTTTCATTTCTGTGTCTAGTTTTGATGTCCTCAAAATCTGGTAGGTTTGTAGAGAGCTCTTACAAGTTAGAGTGGACAAATATTGTCTAGACAAGATGAGGGACTCTTATGACAACTGAGTATGAAGGTGATTCGCCAAAGTATTAGCTTCAGGGTGCGCTCACTTACGTGGCTAGGTTATTGCTACATTTTGCTTGCTTTTTGTTTGAATTGTACACGGTACATTTCACTTACCATTTGGAAAAAAGATCAGAAATTATTTACCATGGCTTTGTTTTATTCATACATTGAAAACAGGCATTTTAAAGGGGTGTATGCACTGTACTTTTCCTGATAGCAACCGGATAACGTTCCAGTAGATAGACTTCAACAGGAAAGCCATTTTGACACCTTGGCTTGGGGGTAATGTCTCGTTTTCAGCCCTTATACGCAGCAGACTGACAGCTCACATTTTGATGCTAATATTTGCCACTTTGCAGCTTTAAACCATACATCAGTCGGCCATGTCTAATGAAATACTAGAATGGATAATGCCTAACCGTCACTCTTAAACATTTTCCAACTCACAAATTAAATATGCAGCCACAATAAATGGAACATTGACCAACATATTTGATGATTTTAGCAACGTCTGTTATTGGTTTTCACAACGGGTGGCTACATGATGTGTTTACAATGGTTTTTTTTTTATGCTTTCACAATGCACTTAGAACTGTCATGCGTTCTTGAAATGCGCTTTACAAATAAACTTAATTGACAGATTTTTATTTTTTATTTTTAAAGCTTTGTCAAAATGCTGAAACCGTTTGCACAGTTCGACGATCCTTTCTGCTGCGTTACTGAAACAAAGATCGTCCTTAACGCATCTTTCCGGTTGATCTCAGGGTGTCCGTTTTGATCCGGAGATCCCCCAAACTCTGCGGCTGGAGTTCGCCAAGGCCAACACCAAGATGGCTAAAAACAAGCTGGTCGGCACGCCCAACCCTCCTCCCTCCCAGCAGAGCCCCGGCCCTCAGTTCATTAGCAGAGATCCATGTAAGTGCTCCGATCACTCATCTGCCTGTCCTTGAGTATGTCTTACTTTGTGCTGCTGCTTCCTTTGGCTGAGCTCGACTGGGCAGCTGTTTCCCTTTAGGAGTTTTTTTTTTTTTTTTTTTTTTTAATCAGACATATTTATGTGCTCTGTTTGAAAGTATATAGAATGCTGTGCCTGTTTTTCTCTTTCTCCAACAGAACATTTGGTTTGGTTTTGTTTTAGCAAAAATGTAACTAAAAAGTAAATAAAATCCCTTCATGTAAAAGATTGATCCTCTCATAGATTAAGTATTTATTAACCATGCATGTCCATTGTTAACTGTTGGACCTGAAAGTACCAGGTGTGTTTGGAATGTGTTCCTGCAGTTCCCAGTCGGTTAAACATTTTTCCGAGAGGTTAAAGGGTTTTGCAGGAATTATTCATTGATAGTTAAACATAGACCAGCTGTAATAGTGCATTCTTCCTGAATGACCAAACCGCTCTTATCTTGGATCTTTTCTTTGCCAGAGAAGGGGGTGTTACTGGTTGCCTCAGAGGAAAATGGACGGAAACCATTAATGAAACCATGACGTAATCACCAGGAGAGAAATTTCATACGCTTCCCGATAAGAGTTGTTTTAATCAGCCATTTTTTTTTCTGATCATTCTTTGATAGAGAAGTAACAGATAAATGCTCCTTAAAATTATGTTTGTCTGATGGTTCTCCAATGAGTTACCCCACGTTGTCTGATTTTTACGTTTTTAAGTGTCCACTCCCTGCACACCACACAGCACTGTTTCCTCACTCGTGCACCTTTTTTTCACAGTCACCTTGCACTCAGCTTTACGAGTAAATTATGTCTGAGGTGGTTTCCTCTCATTTGCAATTTCTGCTAGCTACTGTTGCCCCGCCTGTAAAGCTTTTTGTTCTCATATGTATCCAATTTAGATTCTAAAAGGTGCCTGATTTACCCCTGCAGACCTTAGTAATTTGTGGAATAACAGGTCTTCGTGTTCAAACAAGGGTATACAGTAGTATTTGCTGATAACCATCAATTTCGCTAGCTTAAATGACAGTTATTAGATTTGTTGCTTAAACTAATCAAGTTAATGCTAACTCCATAAGCTTTGCTAAAGGTACATTTGAGTCCAGGAAATAATTACAAATACTACTTTATGGTGTGCCAACTTTGGTAAAGATATCTAAAAAGCCTTAAAATATACACTGCTCAAAAAAATAAAGGGAACACTCAAATAACACATCCTAGATCTGAATGAATGAAATATTCTCATTGAATACTTTGTTCTGTACAAAGTTGAATGTGCTGACAACAAAATCACACAAAAATCATCAATGGAAATCAAATTTATTAACCAATGGAGGCCTGGATTTGGAGCCACACACAAAATTAAAGTGAAATGTTCCCTTTATTTTTTTGAGCAGTATATATAAAATATATATTTTTTTATATCAAATAGCACCAACTAACACAGAAAACCTTTAGAAAACAAAATCAACCTTTAATTTATGTGTGTTTGTTCAATGGGATGTGGGAAGGAAACACATTAAGAAAAAAATTATTCACAGAAATACTGGCACCACAACCAGTGGCACAGCTACAATGTTCTTTAAAATTTATGCAACTGAAGAATTGTTTTTATGCATGCGTGCCTTTTTAGGTCAATCACAGTTTCATGGACCTTTCTGGATTTTTGTTTCAATGGGGTACTTTTATCTTAGCCTCTCTTCAAAATGGGAAAGACAAGAGTACAAGCCATTTCCCATAGGAAAATATAAATATACGGCAGACTCCTGATATTTGGGTTGGCTGAAGGCCACAGCCACCAGCGAATATGTAAAATCTGCAAATCTTTGAGATTCTCTCAAAAAGCTTATAGCCGCCGATTTTAATTGTTCAAATATGCCTCAATATGCATTGATATGCACAGAGCAAACTGTCTGATACCGAATCGAATCATTTGGAGATGCATTCCACAGAAAAATGTGCAAATACTGAATTACAAATAGGCAATGAGTCACTGTAGATCTTTAATAATCAGGCATTGACTATAAGAAAGTATCTGATCAACTTAACTTGCATAAATCTACAGTCAGAGCAATTATAAAATAATTATAATAAGTAATAAACTATGTAAATGTAATCGGCAATACTCCTAATGCTTCAATTCAGATCGCCTTGACATCTTTACTTTTTTTTTTAATGCTCTCAAAACAGTTATCAGGTTTCCGGGTCTAACAAAGTCATTGTCTAATGTGGGCTTAGCATAAAAACAAACACAAAACAGGATTTGAGGGAGAACCTAAAGATACAAAAACAAAATATGCTTATTTTCAATAGTTAGTGTACTTGTGGTATCTAAGATATGTTAGAAGAGTCCCAAACTAAAAAAAAAAAATAAAACAAATGTTGAAATAAGCAAAACTTTAGTAGACTAGTGCAAGAAGTTGTACTGTACTGACAAGGAATATGAGAATTAAAATTCTGACCTTTCACCCATCTTAACACGCTGCTTTTATCTGTTTAAACTTCAATTTCTGATTTCCTCATTTAGAAAGTCTGAGGTTACCTGGCTGCCTGAAACTGACCAAAAAATCCAACATGGCTGCCTCAAGCATAAATGTACCAAGCTTTATTGTTTTATTTTTTGAATTTTGAACCTAATAAATTCTTTTGCACCCGTAACACTGTACATCGTTTACTAGCGTGCAAAAGCATATAGAAGTGCATGAGCAATGAGCTTGGATTGCTAGTTAAAGTCAACCTTATTACTGAGGAAAACAATGAGAAAACTTGAATGGTTTTTAAAGTTATAGCTAGAACGAAGTAAAATTGCGTGGACCATCGTTCCTAGGTCTGACCTTTGATTGTGGAGGCTTATGGAAAATGGCAGCAATGCTTTGGACCTGGGCTCTGATTGATCATGCTTTGTTTCATTGCACATTTCCCCACAGTTAGTCTTTTTTTATTCAAACAGCAGTGTGTGTACACATGCCAATGCCAGCTACTCCAACACAAGAAGGAATCCAAAGCTTTACAGGCTCGCAGTTCATGTTTTAAGTTGTTAAGCTTTCGCTAAACAGCACTGGGACAAATGTATGACGTTTGGACTCATTGAGTGTTTACGGTAATGAAATAAGAGGAATCGACTTCACAAACTGGAAAAACTCCCCCTAGTGCACACCTCCACAATCACCACCATCACCACCACCTCCACCCTGTCTCTCTATCCACCCACCCACTCATCCACGTTACCACTTTCCTCACGCCACTCCTCCTCTTCTTCTTTCCACAGATGAGCTCACAGTGCCTGCTCTATATCCCAGCAGCCCAGATGTGTGGGCGTCATACCCGCTGTACCCGGCAGAGCTGTCGCCGGCCCTTCCGCCCGCTTTCACCTATCCCTCCTCGCTCCACGCTCAGGTAATCTGGAAATCCCATCCCAAACGTTTCCTGTCACCGTCATCCCCAACCGCCGCCACTGCTCCCTCACGTACCCGCTGAACCCGCAAAAAACACTCGGCGTTTCATTTCACCGACGCCCGTCACTTAGTGAAGCTTTGCAGAAATATTAGCTTACTTTGGGGGGAGAAAAAACAACTTCATCTTGTACAAAGGTGTATATATATTTAGTGGGATCCATACATTTATAATTTAAATAAATATATATTTATAAAGGAAAAGTCTTAAAAGCTCCTATCAGGGCATATCTGCAGATTGTTTTTTGAAAATAATCAAAAGATGCTTTTAACAAAGCATAAACTCAACTGCAATGAAAAGTCTTAGCTTTTTTTTTTATTCAGGAACATATATAAAATATAATAAATCCTTAATTATGAAATGTTGTAAAAGGTTTAAAAAGCCACTCATACGACTGGAGAGAATACATACGATTCTTGTGAAAAAGCCAAAAATCAGTTTTTTTATTTATGTTTGCGTCATTATTTTTTTTACCTTAATCCCCCTCTTTAATTAAACCCTGTTTGGTTCAGTTCATCAAGGCCTTGAAATCCACTCAGCTCAAACTGTGAGCTCACACGAGAGTTTTAACATCGATCTTTTGAAATTCTTCTCATGAATCCTGTTGGGTTCAGGCTGACCCACTAACACAACCTCAGTGTCAGACTGGTCTGCGGGCTCGATCTGATCTCTTAGCATTTGAAGTATTGCTTGAAATGTTTTAATTGGGTCATGCAGTGTTGTTCAAATCTGCTAGAGAGGGCATATAGCATACATTTCCATTCATAATGCGGACACTTGTGTCTTTTAGGCGTAACGCCCTGCCCACCTTGAGAAAGACACTCGCTGAAGCTCAGATGAAGTCAGAATTTAAAATGAGCCCACGTTGAATCTGCCTAGCTGGCGTTTTTCCATATGCGTGCCGTGGATGTGCACACATGCTGACACAAAGAGAATCTGGCTCTGTGATTTCAGTAGGGGGTTGTGGTCAGTGATAGGCTTGTTAGAGCTTCCTCTGACCAGGGGTAGGTGCTGATATAAAGCCAGAAAGGGCAGGGCAGGCTCACACACACACACACACGCACACATGCACACACACACACACGCACCGGGCAGAAGAATCAAATATAAATCATGTTAACAGGAGCTCACCTTCCTGGCTCCACAGCTAATCAGCTGATGTCATCAGGGTTATTGGATGCTAAGAGGTGTTTTTAGGCCGGATGAAGTCAGCAACCTAGCTGGAGCAAAAGTAACTACAAAAAGCAGGACAATGAATCCTGACGTGAAATAAAATCAGGTAGGTGTGTATCATCAAGTTACAGTATGTGAAGAAGCATTTACCTTCTTACAGATTTATTTTTGGCTTTTTTCGTTTTGTCACATTTAAATGTTTCAGATCATTAAACAAGTTTTATTGTAAGGAGATAACCTGAGTAAATAACAAAAGTTGTTTTTAGAGTATTTTCTCATTTATTAACGGAAAGATGCCATGCAGAGCAGCATGGCCTTGCAGTAGGTGAAAAGGTAATTGCCCCTTAAACCTAATAACTAGGCGTGCCTCCCCTGGCGGCATCTGCAGCAACAGACTCTCTGCGTCTGTGCAGAGCCTGGCTTGCTGACATCAGCTCTCTCTCCTGTGTCAGATAAGACACTCGCCTTCTCAAAAGGCTCCACTTTCTTTTCTTGTTACTCTTAGAATATTTTCCCCATCAGTCAATTTTCGGCACAGGTGAGACACGGGCCTTTGTGCTCCTTTTGGCCAGCGGTGGTTTTGGCTTCAGGACTCTCACATGGCGAGTCCTGAAGCCTCCATGTGAGAGGCTTTCTTTCTTATAATTCTCATCATTCATTCTCTCTTTCTTATAATTAAACCTTGAACCCTGCCCTCGGCTGAAACAAAGAGTGCTTTAGATGTGGTTCTGGCTTATTCCTTAACCTCCTTGATGAGTCGCTGAGGTTCTCTTGAAGTAATTTTTTTTTTGTCCACCAGCCACGTCTTAGAGGGTTTATCTCTGTCTTTTTTTTTCCCGACATTTATGGATCATCATCAGGATAGTTTATCCTACTTCATGCTGTCAGACAGGTTCTGTTTAAGCAATCAGAATTAGGGTTAGTCAAAATTGCGTTTACACATATTACCAGGTTCCCCATTGCAAATGAAATAAAAAAAACAAAAACAACTTTGTATGCATATCAATTGTAAAATTACTTCATGACAAACAGTTGGAAGCTTTTCATACAATAACAACTGGTGTCCAAGCGCCACATTAAAGTTAATTTCGGGACTATGCGTTAATGCGAGATTGTGTGTGTGTGTGTGTGTGTGTGTGTGTGTGTGTGTGTTTAGATTCGTTGGCTCCCACCTGCAGATGGAACTCCTCAGGGATGGAAGTCCAGACAGTTCTGCTGAAGTATGTGTAAGTAGCAGCATTCGTACACATTGTCTGACCCTGCGTTACCCTGGTGCGGTGAAGAAATGTACATTGTGACGAGCTCTTACAGTAAATGTTATGACACTTTGTTTAAACAGGTGGTGAAACATTCCTAAACAGACATGAGGAATTTCTCAGAATGTTACTACAACTCAGTTTTTTTTGTATTTTTGCACTTTGACCTCAGATGAAAAATGTCCATCCTGCCAACTCCCAAAACTAACCGGCTAATTGGTCTCGTATCTGCTGGTTGACTTCAAACACAAACACGCGAGTCGCCAGCAGAGAACACGGGAGTGTAACACCCGGTGGGTCAATCAAACCTCAGCCACTCCTCATGCATCATCATCAGAGATGAAAGGCGCAATCTGAAGGGGAACTCCATTATTTTCACACACACACACACACACACACACACTCCTCATTGCCTCTCTCTCTCTCTCTCTCTCGCTCAGGTCACATGGTTACACAGGGTCGACTCTTCTCATTGATGTTACGGTTGATCTCGGGCATCAAAAGCAGCGAGTCAAACAGAATTTGCAATGAAAGTGTCCGCGCTGATGGTTTGATTAAGCAGACCGAAAAGGGATCAGCAAATATGACTAAAATGCTAATAGACTCTGCTTTGATTGGGAGCATAACTACAGTCTGCCTGTGAAAGTCACTTAGTACCTCTACTCAAGTGCTCTGCTTGAGTTGGACTGAACGCGTTCAACGTGTTGTGTTGTAGCTCCACTTGGTGAAAATAGCAAACATTGTCTTGTCCCCCCCCCTTCACTTTTTCCTCTCCAGAGTGATGGTTGTTATAGTTTAGTTGCTTTTTACCCAGTCACAGATAATCAAACAGAACGGGGAATTTCCAACTTTGGTCTGTGTTTGGTAGATTTGAAAAAAAAGTTAATGACTAAAAAGGAATCTGTGGGAAATGTTGAATTATCAAGTTGGTGGTCCTGGCTTTCTTCTCCCTGTTTAGATGAGTTCCTTGGGAATCTTGAAGTATTCTTATCACAGGTGCACCGAGACATCGACTGGATGAGGATTGGATGATTTTTAGCTCGATTGACCCTGACCGCTGACGGCCTGTTTCGAAACAGAAGAATCGGATCTCTTAACAACACCAGGTTGGGCTGACAACAACACTCTTTGGTGTGTAAGTGTTTACTGAGTAAAGAAGCCTCAAAGTTTCTATGAAACGGGCAATATGGAGTCAAAATTATGTCGCAGTATTTCAAAAGGAAATTTTCTGTGACAATTTAAAATGGCAAAAAAAAAAAAAAAAAAAAAAAAAAGGGGGAGCCGGTTATTGGGAAGATTTAAAAC